AAAAAAAAAAAAAAAGTGAACAAATGGATGGATGAGTTAATGATTAACAGAGTAGCTAGTGGGATGGACGGGACTGGTCCATGAATGAATGGATAGGTAGGTTGACAGATGGTTGGGGTAGGGAATGAGTAGAGGGCTGGATGGGTGAGTAGACAGGAGGTCATGTGGGTGATGGAAGACTGGATGGATAGATGAATAGGTAGGGGTGTGTGTATGAATGGGTGGGGCTGACAGACGGGTGGGTGATAGATGAATGATGAATAAATGATGGATAGATGAGTGAATAAGGAGATGGGGTTAAGGGATGAAGGACGAAGTGAATAAATGGGTAAACAGATAGGAGCATTGATAACTGAGTAGACAGACTGATAGATATGGTAGGTAACTGGCAAGTGGACAGATGACTGGGAAGGTGGAAGTATGGATGAAAGAATGAACTGATTTAATGATTTAAATGAATGATTTAATGATATAGACAGGTGGGGAGGTAGCTGGCTCAGTGGGTGCCTAGGTGGGTGAGTGAATGGGTAGACTGGAAGAGGGAAGGATGGGTGGATGAATGGACGAGAGGTTTATGGGTGGGTGGATGGTTTGATGGGTAGATGACTGGATGCGTGAGAGGACAGGAGGAAAGGTAAGCCAAGGATAGATGGAAGGCTGGGTAGATGGATGGACGGGTGGGTCAATGTGTATTTGTGAGGCCCTTGGCCGACTCACCACTAGGTTGCCAATGACCATAACAAGTAAGAAGACCAGCAGACATAACGACTGCCCAGAAACCTCCATGCAGTCCCACATGGTCTCGATCCACTCTCCACAGAGGATGCGGAAGATGATGAGGAACGCATGGAAGAAGTCCATCATGTGCCAGCGGGGCAGCAGGCCGGAGTCACTGATGCGGTGCCTCAGCTCTGAGTAGTTCTTGCCAAAGAGCTGCATGCCCACCACAGCAAAGATGAACACAATGATGGCCAACACCAGCGTCAGGTTCCCCAGCGCCCCCACTGAGTTCCCGATGATCTTGATGAGCGTGTTCAGGGTGGGCCAGGACTTGGCCAGCTTGAAGACCCGCAGCTGGTGAAGGAGGAATTGGAAGGGGCCTTGTGAGGCGCTTTGGCTCTTACTGCCCATGGACACCCTTATGCTCCACAGCTCTGGATCCAAAGCCCAAGAAAGCCTTGAGGTCACCAACACCAGTTTTTCCCCATTTTTGCAAGAGCACCACTATGGTTTCTCTGCATGGTCAGATGAGGCCTCATTGGACCCAGCCCTGGGGATCAGTTCAATATCTTCCACCTATCTCCCCAATTTAGACTCTCTCTCTGTCCCCACATCAGCTTGCTACCTGGCTCTGTCTTACTTCCTGGAACTGCCCAATAGCTTCTCCTGACCTGGAATGTCATTCCTTACAGACCCGTTCCCACCACCAGTCCTCAGGCCGGCAGCTCACACCATCTCTGACTCATTCGGTCCCCATCTTTTTTTTCACAGAGAAAGGGGGCAGGTGCTTAGCATTTCTTGAATACCTACTAGGAGCCAGGCCTGTGCTTAAAATAGATGAGCTCCTCCAGAGTCCTCCCAGGAACCACAGGAAGTTGGCACCATTACAACCTTGTCTGGCAAACGAAGAAGCCAACCCTTCGTGATGGCGGGGTTGGGACTAGAACCTATAGCCTGCACTTTCCACACTGCACAATCAGCCTTCCTTCCTTTGTCCCCAGTGGAACCATTCACAGTGCTCAGGACTGGCCCTGGGCAGCCTTACTTGACCACACCTCCAACCCCAAATCTTGACCCTGGGGGCATTTGGAGTGACACGGTGTCACCGGAGGCCTCCTGCATCAGCCACTGCCTGACAACAAGATCCTCGGGAGATCTGTGTGTGCATTAGTTCAAAACGCCTATCCTGCCTGCCTCACAAGCACAAGGTCCTGAGTTCAATCCTGGGTACCAAAATAAATAAATAAATAAATAAAAATAATAAAAGACGCTTATCCAGCATGCAGAGCCCTGCAGGAGCAGTTGGCAGACTTGGCTCCACCAGTTTCTTCCATGTGGCTCTGGGAAACTCCTTTCATCTCTTAGCCTTAGTCTCCTCATCTGTGAAACAGGGACGGAGAAGCACCAGATCCCCTGGACACCACCAGCGTTGGGCCAGGCGGTAAGAAACAACACTAGTTAAAGGCTCTGGGGTTCAGGCATGGCAGAACAAAGCAAAAGCGATGGAGGAGTGACCCCAGAAGAAGATGCACCCCACCTCCCTCCCCTCCCCGCTGCAGCAGGACCCATGGTACCAGGCGGAAGGAGCGCAGCACCGACAGGTTGCCCATGCGGGACAGGCCCAGCTCCATGAGACTAAGAATAACGATGATGCTGTCAAAGATGTTCCAGCCCTGCTGGAAGTAGTAGTAGGGGTCGAGGGCGATGATCTTGAAGGTCATTTCTGCTGTGAAGATCCCTGTGAAGACCTAAGGAGGGAGTGGGAATCAGGGTTCTGAAGTGTGTGCTGGAGGGACCCCGTGGCCAGCGAGGGCACCTGCTCCCGACTTGCTCTGGCAGGGTCTCCCTCCGGGGCTGCCACCTCTGACTGCACCCGGGCTCCCATGGCTCTTTTCTCCAGCCTGGTGCCCCAGCTCTCTCAGCTGCTTGTGTGCCATCAGCCTGGCCCCCAGAGACACCTCGGGCCTATCCTGGGGTCTATAGGGACCCCAGCTCCAGAGACTCCTGCAGCAGGGGAGACTGAGGCAGGTGATGACCTACCCCAGACTCTTTCCCACGGCGGGCTCCATGGGAAGTGCTCCTCTCCTATGCAAAATCCATGCATCTCCACACACGCCTGGCACACGTACTTAGGGCCTTTGCCCAAGCTGTCCCTGCTGTGTGAAAAGCCCTCCCTCCTTAATACAGGTCAGGCTTTTCCCACCATGATAACAACCAGCCAGTGTTTCTCCACAGCTGACGATGTGCTGAGCAGTGGGCCAGAATTCTTCACACACGTTATTTCATTTAGTCAAACAATCCGGTGGTGAAATTATAACTGTCCCCGTATGACAGATAAAGAAACTGAGGCACTGGAAGATGAAGTGGCTCTCTAGAGTTGACTTAGTGTTTTTGAGATCAGCAGAGCCAGTGCTGTCTCCAAGACTTAGAGCGTGCTCTCTCTGCTGGAGACCTTCCAGAGAGTGCAGAAGTTGGGCTGTGCCTGGCTTGTTGACTTATGAGCCCCATACTGTCTGGCTGGGCCTGCAATGTGGTGGACCTGGCAGCTATCACCACAGCCAGCTGTAGAAAGGGTGCCAATTGCTAAGACAGGGGCATGGTGCCAGAGGAAGGGCTGTCTGGTGAGCACATGGCTGGCTGGAAGCCAGGGCTATACATGGGCTTCTTGGGAATGGTGAAGAGCTGGGGCTGTTCTGAGGGCAGGAAGGAGATATTCAGGGTCTTCTGGAGGGGAAGGCTGTGTGTGGAGAGAACTGGGTGCCTCTGGGAGTGGTGCCAGACCTGCAGCAGCCATGAAGATATGGGAGTTGGAGACAGGCATGGCTGTGGTACCTCGCTGGGATCAGCAATCAGAAGAAACCGGAATCTGTGTTTTGGCCAGATTCCCAGGCCATGTGAAGTTTAAGAAGTGCTTCTTTGGAGCAGGTGTACTCTGGGATCACCTAGGGAGTCCTGAAATTGCCAATGCCTGTATCCTACCAGAGATTCCAGGTAAACTGGACTGGAGGGAGCTCTGTGGTAGAGAGTTTTAAAGGCCTCTCAGGAGACTCTAACATGCACATAAACTTGAGGATGTGAAGTCTGGTACCAGATCTGCTCCTTTCACAGAATCACTGAGATTTTAAGGCCATGTATTCCCAGATGGGCATCTAACCTTTTGGCTTGCCTGGGAGCACTGGTGAAGTATTGTCTTGGGCCATGTATTAAAATATATAAAACAGTTAATGCATATACACAACAAAACTTCCTTCTTTTGGGAGAGGGGATTGAACCTAGGGCCTAGGCACTGAGCTACATCCCCAGCCATTTTAAAATGTTGAGACAAATTCTTACTAAGTTGCTAAACTGTTCAGCTAAAAATTGTGATCTTTCTGCCTCGGCCTCCTGGAGGTCTGGGATTACAGGTGTGTGCCACCATACCCAGCTTTGTATTTTTATATTTTTATATAAACAACACTAATAAGAAAGAGAGCCAGTGGCACACAGGCTGTGGGCTGGACATGCCTCTTAAACTTTCAAACCTGCAGAGAACAAAGTTGGGTCTGCCATTGTGAGATGCTGAGCCAATCTCTCCATCTCTCTGAGCCTTGAATGCCCCTCTGTGTGGTGGTGGTGGGGGCACTAATAACTCCACAGGTGTTTCTAAGCGTCACAGCTAATGGATGCTGGGCAAGACAGTGATGATTATTACCATCAACAACATTTACCCTGGCTGCTGAGCCTGGCCAAAAGCACCAGACCCGAGCAGGGGCTGCTGAAGACACAAGAAGATACATATATCTGGCAGGGCTCTGGGCATGGAGACCCACTTCCTCTACCTCCTGACAGGAGGTCCACCAGCAGGGCTAATGGCTTCCCTAGGACGGGGACCATCTGGGGCACCCCAAACGCTCTTGAACTTGCCATGTGCCTGTAGTGGAATCATACTCTACATGCTGTAAACCTGCACTTAAAACACAACACCCCGGGGCTGGAGATTTAGCTCAGTGGTTCCACCGCCTGCCTTGAAAACACAAGGACCACAGTTCGATCCTCGGTACCAGAAAACGAACAAACAAATAAAACACAACACCCTCTGAACATCCTTCCATGCTAATTACAGTCTTCAGCATCATTTTCCTTTTTAAAAAATTTTAACAGTTGAGGCATATTCCTCTGTGCAGATATGCCATAACTAGTTTAACCAATTCTCTGAGATAGGCATTTTCTATATCAAAACATTGCCGCCATAATAAATACCATGTTACATACTTGTCTTAAAATAACCTGTCCTGGAAATGGAATTGTACAGTCCATGATCATTTTTAGAGATTCTGGTACATGGCTAAATGAACCTCTTAACCAATCCCAGCAGATGAATGTAACCACCTGGCTCTTACTATGCTAATACTGGGTATTCAATTCCTACTACCTTTTCTAATTCAATAGGACATGGAGGTTTTATTGGCCATTTCTTTGTTTTTTGTATTTTCTTCTGTAAACTCGCCATTCATGTTTTCTGCTTTTTTTATTTTTTTGGTTTAGGTACCGAGAATTGAACTTGGGACCTTGAGTTTGAGAGGCAGGTGGTGGAACCACTGAGATAAATTCCAGGCCCCTTTTCTGCTTATTATTCTATTAGGGTGTTTACTTTTTAAGAATTTTCTATAAATACAGTTTAGGGCTGTTATCCTTCAGTCTACTGTACAAATTGCCATGACATTCCTGGTTTGTCACATATCTTTATTGAGTTTAAGTTAAAAAATTTAAGAAGATATACTTTAAGTATAGATAATATAATGTGTTCCTTTTAACTACCACAAACTCTACCAAATGTTAACATTTTGCCATTTGTTTCAAGTGCTGTTTTATTTTTCCTCACAAACTAATACAAGTAAAGACTTAAGCAAATATTTGCTATATGCCAGGGATTGTTCTAGTGTTTACACAAATTAAATAATTTAACCCTATCATGTATGTACTGCTTATGATCTCCATTTTATGGTAACAGGGAAGTCAAGTCGCACATCCAAAATGGTGGCTTCCATGCTTACGCTTTACCCATCACGTGTTGCCAAGAGAAAGAGGAAGCTGCTCATAGTGCTACATTCATTGCAAGGCGACCACCACTCCAGATTCGATGTTCATTGTTCCTATGCTGTCCATGTTATGTTTTAGTACATATGGCAATACATGGTATTTGTGTGTTATTTTAAGCTTTATAGAAATGGGCTCTGCTGTTTGTGCTTGCTTTTCAAGTTCCTTGTATTCGGAACATCAAGTTTATGAGATTTATCCACTATGATACATGTAAATGCATATGTATTCCAGTTGCATGCCTTTCAATGCAGCATGTTGTTGTATGAATATACCACTATTTTTTATCCGTCTCTTATGGATGGCTGGAAATTTATGCTGACTCTACTTTTTGTTACAATTGACAAGTTTCCTTGTGCCAACGTGTGACACTGTACTATGAATATGGATAGGCAGTTGTCAGGGGGGTGGTACCCAACCTATACTCTTGCAAACCGTGACTTCCCACTGTTCCACATCCTTGCCAACCATAATTTAGTTTTAATTCTGCTAGGGGTGAGAAATAGTATCTCAATATTGCTTTAATTTTCCTCTTTCTGTTTCTCTTTATTTGCTTATAACCATCTTAATTTCTTCTCTCATGCTTTGTCTTATCACTTCTGTCCACTGCGGTGCTTGCGTTATTACCTCTGGATTGTACTCTTTCTTCCTGATGTGCATGGGTTCAACATTGTATGGAGTCTATGTCTTTATTTTATTTTATTTTTATATATGCTTTTTGTTACCGGGATTGAATTCAGGACCTTGTGCTTGCGAGGCAGGCAGCAGAACCACTGAGCTAAATCCTTGGCCATAGAGTCTATGTCTTTATAGTTAAATACTTTTCATAATGTCAATTTCCAGTTTTGGGGAGGGATTTAACTTAGTTTACAGTATCCTCTGTTGTGCAAATCTGGTGAATTTCAACACAGATAAACTTAGCAATCTTTTCTTTCATGGAATAAATGTTTCAATTTCTTAGTTAAATCCAATTTGTCTATACATAGGTCATAAGTAGGGTATGAGGTAGGGATATACATTTATTTTCTTTTATAAACATAACCATTCTTTCCAGCATCTTTTATGGGATAATCATACTTTTCCTACTGGTTTATAATATCATTTATGTTATTTATCAACTCTCCAAATATGGCTTGTTCTATTTCTGGAAACTCAATTGCACAGCACAGGTCCATTTTTCTATCTCTATAACAATGCTATATGCCAGGAATTGTTCTCATGTTTTACATAAACTAAATCATGTTACCTCATAATACATGTAATGCTTATTATCTCTATTTTATAGATAGAGACAGGGAAGTCAAGTCACAGACCCAAATGGTTTTCTAGAAATACTATATATAAATAAATACTATATTTTTTTTGTTTTATAATATATACCTCAATATATGGTAGTAAATTCTTCACCATATTCTTTAATTTACTTTAAGATTTACTTTTCTATGTGAATTCTAGAATCAGAATTAACCAAGTTCTGTGAAAAAGTGTTGAGAATTGGATTGGAATTATACTGAACTTACAGGTTAATTTGGGAAGAATTAATTTTTCTACAATATTAAGAATTCCATCCATAGAAATGGCACATGTCTATTCATTTGTCTTCTTTTTCCTATAGTTTCATATTTTTATTTAAAATGCATATGTCTCTTGTTATATTTATTACTAGATTTCTCATTTTTAATTGAAATTGTGTTCACTTTTCAAAATTAATCTTTCCAAATCATTGTCAACAGTGACTAGCTGCCAATTTGTCGACTGAGCCTGTACACCCTAATAGTGGGTAACTCTCTTATGAGTTCTAAAGGCCTCTTATAGATTTTATTGGATTACCTACAAAGACAACAGCATAAACTGGAAAATAATGTCAAATCATTTTTCCTTCCATCTTGTTTCCTTTAGATCCTTAGATCTAAATTTATATTTATTTACTGATCGTTTCAGCTGTACTGAACTTCAATGCATTTATTTTTCATTTCTAAAGGTCTTCTTTGGTCCCTTTTCAAAGTTGTCTTATTCCTTTTTTAATTATTTCCTTCTTTTGCATCTTCAGTTATTAAAAACATTCTTGTTTTAGCATCTCTATCCAACAATTTTGTATGTCACTTTTAAGAGGTTAAGCCTGACATATGTGTGAGTGTGTGTGTGTGTGTGTGTGTGTGTGTGTGTGTGTGTGTCTACGGGTGTGTATTTGCTCACTGTTTTTCATGGTAGAATATCTTCCTGTATAGTTTTTAATTGGGGGAATCCAGTTTGGCTTATCTTAAAGATGTCTCTTTCCTTAGAAGTTCTTTGTTTACCTCTTGTGGGGCCCCAAAACATCACCCCATGATCACTTTACATGCTAATACTTTAGGCATAGGCTGAATCTGAAATCTATATAAGGCCACCTTCACTGTCACAAGCTTCCTGAGGTTATCGCTTTTCCCTCTCTGGCTCTGGCTTAGATCAAGCTTTTTCATCACTTCGCAGTGTCTGTGTGTAGGTTCTTCTGGTTTGCCATTTTCCTGGCCGTGGCTGGTTGTATGGGGGGAGTCTGGCCCCTTTTCCTCCCTTCCTCTTGCTTGCACTCTGGTCATGTGATGATGCAAGAAGAAGGCTCTCACCAGATGTGGCCCCCGATCTTAATTCTCAGCCTTAAGAACCATGAGCCAATAAAATTCCGTTGTCTATCAGTCACCTAGCCTGTAGTCTTCTGTGACAGCAGCAGAAAACAGAACAAAGCCGCCATATTTTTGTAGGGCTACCCCATTACTACTCCCATGCCCTTTGTGCCATGCTCATGAAAACCCAAGCCTCCAGATCACCCAAATCATTACCCTCACCCTCTGCCCAGGGCTACTGTAGAAACATTTCACATGCTTACTGCTAGGGTTTTCCGCAAGAGACTTCTCAGGTTATTCTGTCCACAGTGTCTTTGGGAACTGAAGTTTCATTTGCCTTTCATCTTGCTTGTGTGATGGACTAAAAAGTTAGTCAAGTGTATCCGTCTTCTCCTTTACAGAATTTGGCTTTAGAGATGTACTTAGAAAGGATTGCCCCATACCAAAGTTATTACCCTTGCTTATTGTTGTGGTTTTGTTTCTTTATATTTAGTATTTAAGCCACTAGAATACATTAAATGCAAGAAAATAAAAATCTTACATATTATCAATAAAGCTATCCAAACAACAAAATATACTTATAATCCTACTGTATCAATCACTTTTTTGGGGGTACCAGAGATCAAACTTGGGACTTTGAGCTCGCGAAGCAGGTGGCAGAACCACTAAATCCCTGGCCCTCAATCACCTTTTATTGAAACCAAGTCCCAGACTTAGTACAACTGCTATCCAACCACAACTTGGTGGCCCCCTGCTCTTTACCACACCTGATTGCTGCTCAGGCCAGCTTGGCACTGACATTTCAATAAATGCAAACCTCACATAACCACCATCGAAGACCACCCAGCGCCCTGCAGTGCCATGAGACTCCTGCAGACTGAGATGCACCTTTCCGTTCAGTTTGCATAGACAAAGAAAGGACAAGAAGATTACAGCCAGTGGGGTATTAGAGACAAAAAGTGAACACACTCTGCAAAGAACTATCTAGAGTCCTGGGTTTGGAGAGTAATAGAAGGAGAAAATGCTCACAACCCACAGCAGGGGAGACCCACCTGTCTGTAGGGGCAGCCCGAAACAGCTTAGACTGAATGCCCAGGGCTCTCTCTGCCAGCCTCCGTAGTGATCCCAGGAGCTCCTTCCCAAGGCAGAGGGCTCAGTCCTGCCCTAGGGTCCGCTGGAGAGGGGCTGGCACAGTGTTTACCAGGATGAAGCCAATATGGCCAGTGCCCAGGAGTTAGGAGACAGTGGCTACATACCTAAATTTCCCCACTATGTTACTCCTCCTAGCTCTGGGCCTCAGTTTCCCTATTTGTACAACAAGGCTAGATTTGGCCTCAAGAAAAGAAAATTAGAATTAGAACTCAAACATTTTGACTTCTAGGGTTGGTGTAACAACAACAATAATACCCACAACTATCATTTGTTCTGAGTGCTTATTGTTTAGCAAACCCTAAGTGAAGCACATTACACGTATTATCTTATTCAGTCCTCATTAGCTTCCTATGAGGTTAATATTGCCACACTAATTTTATATTTATTAAATTCAACAAATATTTATTGTACCAATTGCGGACAGTGAGTAATTTACTTGAGGCCTTAGAGTAGGAGCTGGCTCAGAATTCAAATCTGGCTGTGCCTGATTTCCATACTCGCTCTGTCTAACTATCCACTCGTCCAACCATGCTCCTCCTCCCACTCTCTGTTTAACCGTTTGCCCACTTGTCCCCCACCCAACAACACGAATGCTCATCTCTGCAAGACTGGCCGTCCGAGAATGGCCTCTTCCTGTGGGCACCCTTTCCTCCATCTACTCACTACAAAACCCTACCTCTGCACACACACATTTCAGGCTTAGCCCCAGCTCACTTTTGCTTCCCAGTCTTTGGGTACCTTTGTATACTCTTGCTACACCAGCTGGCCAAGAGCCCCTCGCCCCAGGACACCGACCAGAGAGCCTGCAGCAGGCAGCCCTTACCAAGTTTCCAACCTGCAGCATCTCCTCGAACTCGCTCGTCATGTTGTAGTGCTCCAGCGCCATGAAGAGCGTGTTGAGCACGATGCACATGGTGATGGTGAGGTCAGCGAACGGGTCCATGACCACGAACTTCACTTTCTGCTTAATGGACATCCACAGAGGACAGCACTCCCAGATCAGGTAGCGCTCAGCAAAGCGGTTCCAGCACGGGGGGCACTTGCGGTGAGACTCCTCCAACTCTGAGGGTGCAGCGAGCAATTAGCAGGGTTTCTGTTGATGGAGTCCTGCATATCTCGTGGGACTCCTGGGGAGTGCACGGGGTGGCTACCTGACAGTGAGGCTGTGAGTGTGGCAGGAAGGCCGAGGGAACGGGCAGGCTGTCGTCCTACTCAGGCAATGAAGAAGAGGGCCAGAGGGGCAGAGGGCAAGAAGAATGCTCGGAAAACTGGACACAGGACAGATGAGGACAAATTCAGGCTCATTTGAGCGAGCAGACCTGGGGATGTGTGGAGGGAATGGACAGCTGTGGGGCAGGAAGGTTCATGTATGAGGACACCCAGGACAGAGTAGGAAGGAACAGGTAAGGACATGTGGGGGAGCGGTGGCTGGACAGTGTAAGCCGTGAGTATACCCCTGGGACAGGAGAGAACAAGATGGGGTGCCCAGTTTGGGTCACCTAAGGAGGGATAGGCTGTGGGATGCCTGGGGACCAGGTAGGGTAGGAAGGGAATAAGCTGGGGAAAGGAGAAGTGAGAGGGAGAAGGGCAGGGACGCCCATGGTAGCCAAGGTACAAGGAGGATGCCCACGGGGCTGGCCCAGAGGTGGGGGCCTGGAGCAGAGGAGAGGAGTGTCTGGAGAGCGCAGGGGTACTGACCTTCCAGGGCGCTGGTGAGGACGCTGGCTGCGCTGAGCGCTCGCTGCCGTGCTCCCGGCTCCTCGAAGCCATCTGCACATGGAGCCTGCGGGGTCAGCATCTGGGCCCCACCTGGCTCCTCTGAAGGTGTGGTCTGGGTACAACCGGGAGACAGGGGTCAGCCTGGCCCCGTTGGGGCTGGAGTGGCTCACCCAGGCTCAGGCCGGGAAGGCCACAGCGGGGACAGGGAAAGTCTCGATAGCACACTGGGTGCTGGGCTGAGAGAAGCTAAACTGGAGTCTCTCTCAGCTAAGAAGCCCCTACTCCTGGCCATCATCATCCCCTTCATTTTCTTTTCTTTGTCACCCCTCTCACTGGCAGTCATTCTTGAGCATGGCCAGGAAAGTACATGCATCACACAGGTTCCTCCTGCTCAGGTGATGCTATATAAATGAGTACGTACAAAAAATGAATGGCCCTGTGGTCTTAGTTGACCACAAGCTCCCTAGAGAGACCTGAAAACAAAACAAAACAAAAACCTAACAGGCTCTAAGATACTAACAGAAGCACAGAGCACCGTGCTTATGTGGCTGGTGGGAGGCCATGACTTTTGTGGAGGCAGTTTGGCCGTATCTACCAGGAAAAGTTTAAATTGGTCCTGTAATTCCTAGTCTAGTAATCTAACTTCATAAATAATTATACACACGCACCAAAAATACACATAAATGAGGCCCATCGCAGTGCTGTGCCTAATACCATCAAAACAAGCAATCGATAGGAAGAATATTAAAATGAATTATAGATTCAACTCAACTCTGGACCTTTACAGACACTATAACGAGCACAAGGTGGTTCCACATATGCTCCCGTGGGAATAGCTCAAGACAAACAGCTGAAGATGGGAGACAGAGTTCTCGAAGAGATGCACTGAATTGCCAATGTGGGTATATCTGGGAAACTGGGGTTGGGGAGACAAAAAAGCGGAGAAGTCCCCTTTTCATTTTATGTACTTGTGCACTGTGGGTTTGTCTCCAGTGTGCACACGTCAATCTTATAAAAACAAGGGCCACGCCTGCGAGCAGAGGTTGGCATGGGCTGTGAGGGGCCACAGGCTGGCGTTCCCTAGACTCTAGCTGAGCACACCCAGAAGCGAGGAGGGACAGGAGAGCTGTGTTAGCAGCCTGTGTGGCCATGGCCCGTGCTTCTAAGCTGGAGAAGGCTCTCGGTGTGCATTTGTGAGCTAGGATCCTGTTATGGTTGGGGTCTAGATGTTCCGCCAAAGCCTCATGGGGTCATAGGCTGGATCTAGCGTGTGTGAAGCCAGAATTGATTCAGGGTACAATGTTAGGCTCAAGGGCACAAGGATTAAGCATCTGAGTGCTACTGGCTAAGTAGTCTGAATAAGATTAAAGGGGCAGAGAGACACTGTTAACTCTCTTGTTACCCTTGCTGCCTTGTGTGTGCCATGTTGTTTCTTCTCTGTGGTGCCTGTTTGCCATCCCTGCTTTGGAGCCGGCCATATGGACTGAACCTCTACGAACTGTGAGCCAAATAAACCCCTTCCCTTTTAACTTTGGGTGTTGGGTATTTTGTCTCAGCACTGAGACAAAGAGTAACTAACACAGGTCTGAATCTGAGACGTCCCCCAAGGCCCACACCTAAGGCTTGGGCACCAGTGTGGGGTGCTACCAGAAGGCGGTGCCAACTTTAGGAGGTGGGGCCTGATGGAGGAAATCGGTCAGGGCTGTGCCCGGAAGGGTATCTCAAGGACCTCTCTCAACCCACCCCCGCCCACCATCTACGATAGGCTGGGTTACTCCTGAGTGAGTATTTTCTTTCTCTCCTGCTCCAGGTGAGAGAGTCCCCTGCCCCTGACCGCGAACTTGCTTTGGCTGAAGGCTACAAAGTGACATGAGGATAGATGCCCAACGTACTAGTGCTGTTTGCCTTTCCCATGTGCTCTAGAACCCTCTGTGAAAGAGCTTCCCTCTCAGCCTGGGCCTCAGGACAAACCCAGCGGAGCAGCCCTGGCCTAACTCACTGTGTGGAGCAGGCCCAGCTGAGCCCTGCTCCGATCCACCGGGTCACATACCCAAGAACTAAGGCCTACGGTTAGCCCCTGACTCCTGGGATGGTTCGCCACACAGCGTTACTGTGGCAATAGTTGACTGATACACCATCCTCGTATACACCATCATCATGATGATGATTCACCATCATCATCTCTTTCCCAAGACTACTGCATCAGCCTCCTAACCGGCCCTTTCTCTATATTCTCTACAGAGCAGAAAGGGATGCACTCAAAAAGCAAATGAGGTAATATAACTCCTTGTTGAGCAGCTCCCTCTCCCTACTGCTCCCAGTTTACTCAGAGTACATCCCAAATTTTACGTACCTACAGGGCTTGTCTAGTACAAAGCGTAGCTCTCCAAACTCTGTTCCTGTTTCTCCCTCCTGTACCACTCTGGCCTGGTAGTTGGGGCCAGAGCTGCAGGCCCTCTCACCCCATTCATCCTCAGGCCTTATCCTGTCCCTCTGCTGAACTCTTTTCCTCCATGTATTTGTGGCAGGCTCCCTAAAATCACTTGTCAATTTTAATGTCTTTTAGGAAGGCCCTCCCTGAGTGTGCTGACAGCTCTCATCCTCAGTCCTCCCCAGCATGGCCCTGCTGCTACGTGAACGTATTTATCAGTCCACTGTCTCCAAGACTGCCAGGCAAACTCTACCCAGCTGGGGTCAGGTCTGTCTGTTCACTGCTATCACTCTGGAGCCTCAGCTGGGCACTCAGCAGAGCAGGGTGGTACCAAAAGAGCACTGGGTAGAGGAATAAATACTCAGAAGTCTCAGCTCAGGTCAGAGATCCAGCTCTGCCCCTACCTTGCTAGATGACCAGGGAGAGTGAAGCTGGAGGGAGAATGTGTGAAGGGAGAAAGAGAATGGATGGCTGTCCAGCGTGTTTCCCCTTCCACTTGGCCCTCTAGGTCCGGGCACTGTGGTGAAGTTGGGGGACAAAGGACCTCTGCAGCTGTCCCCCCCAGGGTGGCTACTCTGCAGAGGGCTTTCTTCTGGCTCAGCCCTTCCTCCCCTCCCGAGCGGACTGGGTGCCCTTGTGAGGCGACATTGCAGACACTGCCGTGTTGCAGGCTCAAGCTGGATCCGGCGGAGGCGGGGAAGGCTCTCCCAGGGGCCTACAGCTTGCTAATCTCTTTGACTTTTCAAATGTCTCCATCTTGGTCCATAATTCCTTTAACTTTGCAAATGACCTGGTCTTGGCCTGCTAATCCCTTTAAGGTTATGAATGGGCCCTACAGAAGTGAGAAGGGCTGAAGTCAGAGTTCCCGGTAATGAAGTGTTTGAACTTGCGTTCCTCCCCGACATGTGCAGCACAATGAGATGACTGTCTGCCTAATGAGATTAGGAAATTCTATTAGTACTCCTGGCTGCTGACCTGCTCCCCAGGCAGAGGCTCCAGAGCAGACCTGCTTGGTTCAGTGGCCCTGGAAGCTAGACAGCTGCTCTCCAGGTAGTGGGGTCTTCTCCCCACTGCACAAGGTTCCCCTTTCACACCTGCTCCAGAGGACTCAAGGGTCCCCTTGAGCCTGCAACGCCCCATACCCAAGAAGTCTGTCCTAAATAACACCAATGATTGCTCAAAACTTGACACTGAGGCAAGTTTCGGCCTCAATACGGGACTGTTTTAACTCACCTGGTCCTTACCACAGCCTGCTGATATATTAATTTTACTCCCTCTTTATGGATGAGGAAACTCAGGCATGAGAAGGTCAAGTAACCTGTACAGAGTCCCACAGCTACGGTGAGCTGGTGGGGGCACCGGAGGCCATGCACTCTGCCTGCCTGACCAAGCTGCCGGCTCCTCAGAAGCTGCCCACCTTCCTCGCTGAGCTCAGCTCTCTCCTGGGGGCGCTGCTGTGGCATGGTGTTGGGTTGGGGTCAGCAAGGACACCTGACAGCTGATGGGCAGTCTTTGGTCTTTACCAATCTACTGGGTGCCAAAGCTCTGGTTGGCCCTTCATGGTTGAGGCAGTCCTGCGCCATGGTCTTTCTGACACTAACTCCGACTGCTCCTCTGCTCTCTCTGTTTCAGGTACGCTGACCTTACGGCTCAGAAATCCAAGTCATGCTGGATGTAGTGGCATAAACCTATAATCCCAGTATTCAGCAGGCTGAGGCAGGAGGATCAAGAGCTTGAGGCCAGCCTGGGCAACATGGTGAGACCCTGTCTCAGAAAACTAAACCAAACCAAACCACACCAAACCAAAGGGTAGGCATGTTCCTGCTTTTCTCTCCACCTAGAACAAGCTCCTGATGGTAGTGATAGATGTGACTAGGCTGCTTTAACAACACTGACACATTCATGCATGTCCTCAGGGCCTTACCCAGGTGAAGCCTCACCATCCTGGCCACTGTCCCAAGTTGAGTATTTTCCACCCAATTTACAGACGAGAGGCTTGAGGTACACTACCCCTTCTAGTTTCAGAAAGAAGCTTGGCACCTAGTCTCCTTCTGTCTTTGCTAACAGGTCTGCTAACAAGTAGGGAATCCTTCCTTCCTTTTCTTGCTCTCATCCCCATGGCACTTATTTCTTGGGCCGACACTGAGTTACCAGTTGTTAAAGTGCTGGAGTATTTTTAACTTGGTGAGTAGAGGTGCCTAGACTCCTTCACATTCCCTCACCTCCTTGGCATCTTCTCCCAAGCCCCCTGGGTTGCTGCCCACGAGCCTACATGGCACAGGGCCTTGGGCACACTCGATGCTGTTAACAGGGCATCTCAGTGCCTGTGCCTCCGCAGCCGGGAACATTTAGCCACCAGCCCCTCTCCTCCCCACCGCACACCTCATACACCTCTACACATGCTCTTTCTCCTTTCCTGATTTTTGTCGTTCTGCCTCTATCAGCACGGAAGCTCTGTAAGGCCACAGGTTGTTGAAGTGAAGCACACGATAGGTGCTCAATTTTCAGGTGAATATTTCCAGGCCTGGCACTGAAGGCCAGGTAGGAAGCCCAGGTCTACTCTGCGGGCTGGCTCACCGTGTCCGGGGGGTGCTCCAGCATCATGGGGCGGAGGAGGCGGCTCCCTGGGGACATGGCCTCGGTGTCACCAGCCCCCAGCAAGGAGACCACCCCATTGCAGTCCACAGCACTGTTTCTTTTGCTGTTGAGGACATGGCTAGGAGCAGAGGTTCCAGGACTGGGCTGTCCCTGGGCAGTGGACCAGCGCAGGGGCCAGGGCACCAGCAGGGATGTGCGGTGGCTCTCACTGTCCCCTGCTGTGCTGTTCTCATCATCTGCAAAGTCGGTCTCGGACCCCAGGTCCCAACGGCGGAAGGTGAAAATGCTCCCTCGGCTGGAGCGTGGTTTCACTGACGTCCTGCTGAGGCTGAGGCGACTCTGAGGGCACAGGGAGGGGCGGTGTGGCCCAGCTCAGCCTCCTGGAGCACTGAGGGCCTCTGCTAGTCACACAGGAACCAAGTGGGCTGAGCCAGAGGGGCTTGGGAGAAGGGGTGTCCTGTACCTTCTGGCATTGCAAATCCATGCCTCTGGGGCCTTGACCCCTATGCCATCTGGGTGCAGAGGCTGGCCTGGAGTGGGGGAGGCAGGGCCCCTGATGTCATAGATAGTCTGGCCCAAGCATCTGGAGTACTCAGCCATCCCCTGGACTCACATGGGCATGTTCCAGGGCTCTTGGGGTGGCCCTAGCCCCAGCCCCCATTCAGTGAGATAGCTCAGGGCTATCAGGACACCCAAACCCATACTGCCCCTCCTCCACTCTAAGAAAATATGGGAAACAGGAGGGGCTGGGAGGAGTTCAAGGAAGCCTTCCTTGGAGAGCAACTTCGGGGCTCTGACTGTACCAGGGGCCTGGCACAATGGGCTATGTATACCAGACCCACCCTGAGAAAGTCAGGAACACGTGTGGGGATTACCATTGCTCTGGGACCATCTTCTGAGTCAGACTTGGGAAACCGCTCATCTCCACAGTCCTCTGTTCCCGAAGACATTCGTTTTCTCCTCTTGCTTCTTCTCCCGTGGTTGACTACTGGGGCCAGAGGGGACATCTCCAAGGAGCTACGGGACACAGTATCCACACCCCTGATGGTGAGGGCCTGGAAGAGGGTGGAGGGAGAAATGTCTCAGTCACTGAGAGATTAGGCAGGCCAGGCCAGGCCCCTCACACCGTTTGTAAGTGGACTTGCACATATCCAAAATGAGGGCATCACGGAGATACTCTTAGACAGAATCCTGTTTTGAGAAAGAACAAGATTCTAGAGGGAAAAGAGTGACTAAAGTGGGCAGCCGTTGGAAGAGAGGAGTGTGTGACACAGTTGCGGGGGTGTTGGGGGCGGTGGTGGTTGATGAGCAGGGGAAATAGCAGAGCTAAAGGTTCAGCTGGGCATAAGGTACTGGAGTAGGTGGTGTGGGGCAGCAGGAAGAACCAATGGATGTCTACAGTCTGGCTTCTAATTGCTGGCTCTGTGATGGCCTCCAGTGTCCACCATATCAGGGGCTGTGGGTGGCCAGGGTAGCACTGCCAGCATCCCTTTTCTGAATTGGCTCAGGTCTCTGACCTGGGAGCTTCCTTCCAGAAGGCATCTCTTGACCAGGATAAAATTTTTTTTTTTTTTGGTACCGGGGATTGAACTCGGGTCCTTGCGCTTGCGAGGCAGGCCACTGAACCGCTGAGCTAAATCCCCAGCCCCACTGACCAGGATAAATTGAATCCATGGACATCCGGATGTCTTTTGTCCAGCAAATGCTCACAAGGACTACCTCCACCTGGGAGTCCCCACCTTCACCCAGCACGTGACATTCTTACCCAGGTGGCTCCACTTTTGCCTGGAAAATACAAGGACCACAGGGAACAACTCAAGGGCTCACTTGAGCCCACGTCACCCTCACTTTTACCAACAGAGACCTCATGGACAGGCAGTCTTTGGCCAGCAGATTCTAAATTTTTACCCAGCAGACACCATATCTATAGGAAATACCTTCGTCCAGAAGACAGCGTCTTTCCCCAGCCTGTACCACCCCTCCAGGCACCCTGCAGTCAGATGAGGGGCTGGCTTGGAGGCTCCTTCTCTGTACGGTTCACCTACCTCATGCTCTTTCTTGAGCATCTCCATGGCCTCCTGGAAGCGCTTTTCCTTCTCCTCCGTCTCTGCAATAGTGGCTTGGTTCTGTTCCTCGTAGGCCATGGCAACCACAGCCAGGATCAGGTTCACCAGGTAGAAGGAGCCCAGGAAGATGACAAGCATGAAAAATATCATGTAGATCTTCCCTGCGGACCTCAGGGTCTGGAGGGGCAAGGAGGCAGAGGTCATCTTCCTTAGGTCCCTCTGGGTCATGGCATTTCCAAGTGTCCAGTGTGGCAGCACCTGAACCAAGCCTGGCCGGGGGCACAGAGCACGCCCGGTGTGGGCTCACAGACAAGAGTCCCACGTCGAGGGAGGCAGAGTGCCACCTAGCCAGGGAGTATGTTGTGCCCACAGAGGAACACACGCTAGTCTGTGGGACAGAGGACTGTCCCACTCACAGAACAGAAAGCTTCCTACGTGAAAGGACGGGTACGTGGGCATCAGAGAAAGGAAGTTTCTCGTTAACTCCTCTCCCTCAAATGCAAGAGCCTTTGGCCCAGTTCCTTCCACAGCTCTCACCAATGGGGAGCAGCTGGGACCGCATCTGGCGAGTCCTGGGTCCTGAGCCCATGCCTGGCATCCTCTGCGTGCCTGGGCATCCACATACCTGCTGGTAGAGGCGCTCCCAGCAGTCCTGTGTCATCAGGCGGAAGAGTGCGAGGAAGGCCCAGGCGAAGGAGTCGAAGCTGGTGTAGCCGTGGTCAGGGTTCTCGCCTGCCTTTAGGCACCGGTAGCCCTCAGGACATGTCCTGTGGCCAGACATTCATGCTCCAGCCTGGGCTGTAAGGCATCCTCTGCCCTTGGGCCCCCACCAGGCCTGGCTCGTCTCACTGGGTAGCCCAGCATATGCCCCACTGCTGGGTCCTGCCTCCAGGTCTGGGTTCCAAGGCTCCCATCTTCCTCTTCTCTCTACTTATATCCTCCAAGGCCTGTATCCAGCTCCTCCAGACCACACTCAGCTGCTGTCTGAGCTGTTTCACTCCATGGAGAGGAAGCACCCAGGTCTGGCACATGCTCCTGGGCAGGGCCGTGGGTGGAGGGATGATGCTGCTAGGGATACGTCTAGAGAGTGTGACCATCTGCACTACCTCAGAGAGCCACATGTCAGTGAGGCAGAGCCACCGCTTACGGAGTTGGAGGTGTGTGTGTGTGAGGGGTGCTTGACAAGCAGGAAAATGTGGCTGAGGGGCCTCTGTGCCACCTAATGCCCTAAAACCTCCAGTCAATCTTCAGCAGCAGGAAGGAGGTGGCAAACGGGCTCTGGAATTTCATATCCAGACATGTGGGAACAGAACTCCACAGTGCCCCTTGCCCGTGGTGAGCCTGTGCCCCTCCACTTAACCCAGAGCACAGTCACCGTGCACAGAGCCCTGCAAACTGCACACAGAGACTGCACGTGTTGGGGACCACAGTCAGGATGCAGGTCCGATCCTGCTCGGCTTGAGAAGAGTCTAGGCTGTTGGGGAGGGCGCAGAGGCTGGAGTGGAAGGGTGCAGTCTTGGGAGATACCAGAGAAGAATGGAGCCAGTTTTGGGCTGGCAGGGGTGGAGGGCACCCTGGCTGAGGCCTACTCCTGCCCATCTTTTGGGCTGTGCTGGCCCTCCCAGCCCTTCTGTCCCTGACCTTTCCTTACCACTGTGTCCACTATGGGGTGGGAGAGCTGCCAGGGTGCTGGCAGGAAGAAAGACAGGGAGGCCTCACTGTCCCTAGGACCGGGCCACAAAAAGGTACAGTCAGCTGAGAAAGCACCCAGGGGTGGCTGGGAGTGCTGTCCCTGGTGTGGGTGCACCTACCCGGCATCCGAGCTGTTCCCACACAGCAGTACGTCGGAGGTGCCATTCTTGAGCAGGTAATTAACTGTAAGAGAAACACTGGATTCGCTTGAGAGGCACATGTGGCCCAGCTTCCTAAAGTTCCCCTCTGCTTTCAGAGCTCTGGAGAGAGCTCTGGTGAGTGGTTGCTGGCTTCTTCCTAGCCCCTGCCCTGACCTCACCCACTGCCTAGACAGGCCTCAGTCACTCTGGCACCTTCCTGGCTTCCTCCTGCTCTCTCCACAGACACTCTGCTGCCAGTGTCCCCCACACTCTCAGAAGACACAGGAAGCCCTTCCTCAGATGTCCCTATGGGGAGCTTCCACACCATGCTCCAAACCACTCAGGGGGCCAGCCAAGGCCAAGAGAAAAGCCAAGCCAGGAGGCAAGGGCCTGGGCAGAGTTCCAGCTTAGCTGCTGAGTCACTTCTTGGCCTTGGCGGGCTACTGCCAAGCTGTGGACTCGCTTCTATTACATAAAATGGTACAGGCGACGCCTGCCGCAATCACCATGGTAACACTGCTCTGCTCAGACTGGACCAGGTTAGACACAGGATACCTGCTCTGTCCCTTCTTCTCAGGGGCTGCTGCCAGGGTCCATCACTCATTGTCATCTGCCTTTGTTTTCAAAGTGTGGCCCCACTTTGGGCTAGCAGCCACGGCAGGGTGACAGAAAAGCACGTGTAGACACATCCAGTGTGACTCTTAGCTGCTGTCCTAGGACAGGTGCGAGCAGAGCACCAGTGGCATCAGGAACTGGTTAGAAATACAGCTTCCTGAGTACAGCCAGACCTACAGATGCAGGACCTGGGCTTGGGCCCTGGCAGTCTGTTGCTGGGGCCCTTCAGGTGGCTCTGGGACACAGTGAAGTTTTAGAGCTATTGCTATAAGGCCACATCTAAATCATAAGCATGCTCTCATCGATCTTCTGTCTGCTTCTATTTTGTAGCGCAGAGTGCCGGTGTACATAAGAGGTCCGATTTCAGAACGGCCCGCTGGGTCTTGTGGCCTAGCATCTGGCCTTGCCCCAGTGCCTACCTTCGATCTAGATTGATGGCACTAATAAGAGAGGTGCTGGGTACCAGCCTTGAGAACGGAGGTGTAAGCCATGCAATGAGATGAGGGGCTCACAGGCTGCATATCCCAAACGTGTCCCAACCCTCTCACGGAGTTCTGGGGCACACATCTATGGAATTAGCATCCTGGCAAGAACACTGATGTCAAACAGGAAAGCACCACGCCAAGGGCTGGGACTCCACTGTGCAGCCTCCCTAGCCCCCAGCACCATGTCACACCCTCTCCCTGAGCTGCTGCTCCACTGTAGGTGGCTTTGTCTCCTCCCTGGCCCGGCACCCTTGGCTGGCCTCACTTCTCAACACTACCCCATCTAACTCCATCCTTCCTGTGCTTCAAACACGGTGTCTCCACCTGGCCCCGAAGTCTGCTCTACTCCAGACTCCCAGCTGGCTCTCAGATGCCTGTGTGCATAGCTGTGGGCTGAACAGGGCTGGGGCAGCCACGGAGGCAGGGGGCGGGCGGGGGGATGGCGTCCAGCCCAGGCGGTCTCACAGAACCCTCCCCAGCTGTGGAGCGAGTCCGTACCTGGATCATTGAGGTAGAGGTCCAGCGACTCCCAGACCAGGCCTTCAGCCTCCACAGAGCCATTGGTGTCATTGAGTGCTGTGAAGTTACGCACACACTTGTGCCTCAGGTTGCCCATGAAGAGCTGCAGGCCAATGAGTGCGAAGACACTGAGGCAGAAGACGGTGAGAACCATCACGTCAGCCAGCTTCTTCACAGACTGGATCAGGGCCCCCACGATGGTCTTCAGGCCTGGTGAAGGCAAGAGCGGGCATGGGGTCACCCATGGGCTTCCTGGTGCACGCTCCTGCAGGTCACCTGGCATTACCACTGAGGTCCTATGCTGAGCTGGGGTGGGGCCTGTGACAGCAGCTGTGAGATGGGGCCAGAGTTATGGAGACTTCTTTGGCATTTAGAACCAAAGCCCCTCTTTCCTCAGCTGCTGAGCTTGTCCCAATACCCTGGGCAGAAGTACAGCCTGGCTTTGCATTTCTGAAGGGGTCTGGTTCTCTTTACTAGCCTCCAGACAAATGTAGAAATGGTATAAAAAGTGTGGTTTTCTTGAGTGGTCCTATCTGGCTAGTCCCAAGGTATGCCAGGGCCAGGCCTTTTGACGTAGCATGTGGGAAAGGAGACACCGCCCTACCCCTGCCAGGTTCATTCCAGGTCAATGCAGGGGTGTAAGCGTTGATCCTGACATGGGCAGAGACCTGACTCTTGCTGGCAGTGGGTCCTCCTGCCTCATTAGTAGGGGGAGCTCAAGGGACCCAGGGTCTGAGGTTGGGCTGGGGCTATGTGTGCGGGGGACCTGAGAGAGCTTTGCAGGGCTGTGTGGGTGCTGTCTTAAGGGGCCTGCTCTACCTTGGGCCTGGGTCAGGGGAGGGGTTGACCTGTATGGCTTCTTCCCCATTCATTCTTCCCCTCTGGGACCTGCCCCCCATTCTCCAAAGCCGAGAGGCCATGGTCTGTTAGTAGCACGGCCCAGCTCCCTGCGGAAGCTAGCAGCCCACGGCAGGGTGACAGAAAAGCACATGTAGACACATCCAGTGTGACTCTCAGCTACAGTCCTAGGACAAGTGCGAGCACAGCATCGAAGCAGCGGGAGAGAGGGGCTCCTCTGCCAGCAGCAGGGCTTCACCCCACTCCCCAAGTGGCTAGATCTCAGATTAAGCTCCGTCCATCCATCGTCCAGCCGGTTAATGTGTGAGAAGCACCTGTGGCTACTGTGCCCGCAGCGCAGAAACAGGGAGGCAGTGAGGTGCAGACTCAGGATGAGCAGCGGACGGCCTCCCCACCGTGTCATGACCACAGCTGCCGCCCAGGGCTCAGACACTCAGCTCTTTATGGAAATCGTCCTGGCAGATGTTGGCAAGTGCTGGGGCAGTGGGCGGGCCTGTCAGGTGTCTAGGCACAGAGCGGGCTGTTGTTGGTAGTGGATTTGCTGCTAAGTGGTGGGAATGGCTGGGGCCCCCGGGGCACACATCAGGCTACTGTCTGGCCTCTATCTTGTGGAGAACAGGATTAGGCCTTGTAACTGCTGTGATCAGTGTGTTTGTCTCTTGGGGTGGTGGTGCCTAAGGGGCTGTCCCTGGGGCCCTGGAGGACACATTGTGAGGGTTCTGAGCAAGGCCAGTTGACACCTAAGGGCAGTGGCTTTGAGGGAGTGGCTGAAGGCTGACAGCCCCACCAGCCCTCTTGGAGAGGGGCCAAGGCCACTTATGAGAGGCTCTGGAGAGAAGGGACATCCATGCACATACTGTGGTGGGTTCAGAGGAACTCACTTTGAGGCTGCGTTTGAATGTGAAATAGTTGGGGGCTCCACTTAAGAAATAACTAACCCAGCCAGAGGAAGTCTGCATTTCTCCTGGGAGCTCACGGCAGGAGTCCTGACTCCCCCAGAGTGGCAATGGCCAAGTGCAGGGTGTAGTTCTGCCATAGAACCACCAGCTTCCCAAGTCAGGGGTCCAATCAGCAAACCCTTCCCCTGGTCCTGACACCTCCCTGAAACCTGTCTCTAGCTGCCTTCACAGAAGTCCTTCTCCAATTTCAAGTGTGGCTCATTTCGTGAAGGAGCCGGTGGGCGCTGTCCTTCCAGAGCAAGTTCCTAGGTGCAGGGGACCTGAGGGTTCAGACCACTTTGATCTGAGAAGGCTGACTGAAGGTGTATGTCAAGTGTGCTGGGTGGCACACGTGACCTCAGACCCAGTACCTCACACAACAGGGCTCTGAGGTCTTCCTGAGTCTTGAGAGCCTTCCTGGATGGATGAGTGGAATGGTTTCCCCTGAGGCCATGTGGGCTCAGAAGATTGCCCAGGTACAGCTGCCAACATCTGTCAAGGAGGATTTCTCCCTGAGGCTCCCATGCACGGTTCACTAAACCTCTACCGCACCATGCAGTGAGGACTGTTAGACGCCAAGGCCCAATGACGCCTGTCCACAGAGTACGCTCCGTTCTGCAGAAGGGGGCTGAGGCTCCACGGTACACACATCCCCCAAGGGGCCCGAGGCTGGCACGGGGCACTTGGTCATAAAAGACTGTGCCGGAATTTCCTTTTTGGATCTGAGTGTGTGTGGATTCCCGCAAGTAGGGTCTTTTTTGGTTTCCTGACCGAAGGACGTCACTGCAGGCTAAAGCAATGCATGACCAAACTTTTAACTGTGAAAGCAGCTGTGTCCAGCTGCAAAAGAAATTCACTATTTTAATAAGAATTTGGGTTCAATGCAGGCTGTGTGGGTGCTCTGTGCCCACTGGTGTCTGAGAATGGGCTCGGCTGGGTGGGCAGCCTGAAGCTCATTCTGAGTCTCTGGGGGGCAGAAGCACCCACATCGTTGAGCTCTAGGAAAGGTATTCTGGTGACAGGCACATTCAGAGGGCTTCCTGGGGTTGGCCTTGGTTCCCAGGTGGCTGGAAAGGCCCAGGCATGTCCCTCCAGCCTTGGCGTTTAACCTGATTTTCACCTGAAATGACTGATATAGTTTTCAAGGCCCGGAGGACTCGGAAGGTGCGTAAGGCTGAGACATTGCCCAGGTCCACAAATTCAGTTGTGTATCTGTAACAAGGGAAAGTCACACACGAGACAGTGACGACACACCAACAGGAGACACAAAGTCAGAGGAGGAGAGGGTTGGGGACAGGGACAGAGAGAGAGTCACTTGTAGCTGAGATCTGAGAGGCAAACCTGGACATCTTACCTGGGATAACTGAAATAGTTTTTAGAGCTCTCAGGACCCTGAAAGTTCGAAGAGCCGACAAATTGCCTAGCTTTATATTTTCTGATACATACCTGCAGAATCAAACCACAGTTATTGGGAATTACAAAGCAGAAGCTCAGCCTGCCCTCCCCAGCCAGCCCTCTCCCTTCTCCCTGACCCACAGTGGGCTGTGGAGAGCCTGGACCCTTCCCTGGGCTTTCTTCCTGATTGTGATCATGCTGACATGGGACCTCAGCATCTCCTTAAGTATATTCACATAGCAAACTTCCGGGTGTTTCTTTCTGTGATCATCCCATGAATAACCAGTTCTAGGAGGCAATTACTCTGCCACCTTCTCCAACTCTGTGAGACACAAAGCATGCAACAAGGTCTGAGGCTTGGGACATATCGGAGTGAAGATGGGAACTCTGCTTTCCCAGAGATGAGGTTTCAGGAGTGAGGTGTTTTCTGGTGCTAGTTTTGCTCTGCCTCTTCTGTTTCTAGTGGGTTCCAAAGATTTCTCAGGTACAGCTGCCCACATCTGTCAAGGAAATTTCTCCTTGAGGCTCCTAGGGGAGCCTGAAGCCCTAGCTGAGACCACCACGGGGAGTGATTAGGTCTCTGAGGGCAGCCCCCTTGTTCCTCCCTGTGCAGCAGTGGTCAGGAGACCCTGAAGTCATAAGCTGGAGGTGGCACGAGTAGTCCCCAAGACACAAGCATTTGAAGATGGGAAGGGAGGGTTGCCTCATATCTGTTCCTCCTCTACCCATGGGCAATGCCAGCCCAAGAGAAGGGGTCAGATACAAGACCCCTCCCCCACGAGCCTACAGACTCATCCTTAGATTGTGGTGTCTTCGAGGGATACAGTGAGGTAAGCAGCCTTCCTTGGAGTCTGTCCTGCACAGGTCTAAGTGATGCCTGGCAGGGCCGAGTGGCTGTGGCCATCTAGAGACTGGGTGCTCATTTATCTCTGGCCTTCATAGGCATAGGAGGCATTGGTCTCTGCAGGCCAGGGACCTGGCCACATGGAGTGTGAGGACACACAGTAGATAGGCCACATGACCACGAGGCTGTGTGACAGGTGGGTGGACCATGTGCGACAGAGGCCACTGGGGAAGGACCTGTGATATTTAACCAAAGATCTCACACGCAGGGTGTCTGACATTTAACTGAAGGTAACCAATGTTAACAAAGGATGACGAGCTCAGGATGTCTGGTGCTGAACCAAGAGTGTTGGACCCAGGTGTCTGAGGGACATCAGGTCGTGATGCCAGCCCTGCAGAGCTGGGCAAGTGTCAACAGTGTAGCAGACAGGACAGCCACACCCACTCTGCCAAGTGGCCTAGACCTCCAGGGCCCTTCTCAGAGCACCTGAATTCCTGTCTGTGGGAGGGTGACTAGAGGAAAGGTCTCAGCACTGTCAAGGGACTCTCTCCCAGGGTCAACAGGTCCAGTCCCATCTAGCTCTGACACCAGGCTGACACCAACGTTCTCTTCCACTTGCAGGCCATCTGTCCTCACAGGGCCCTGCGACGGGGCCGGTCCCCTCCTTACTCACATAGCCCTGCAGAGGTGGGCAGCAGCAGATATTCCCCTGCACAGACCCTTTCTATGGTGTGGTTTCCCTTCTACTCCCTGGGCTCACTTCAGCTTGTGAAGTCCGAGGCAGCCGTCAGATGCACCCCATCACAGTGTGGGGCAAGGAGAAGTCACTGTCCTTGTGCTGGCCCATATGCACCTGTTAATTTTAAATGAGCTCCTTCTTAACTTTGGATAGCAACTCCATTTCCCTCAGGCGCTCACAGCCACAGGCCTTGGTCCCACACTCGTGTGGTCTCTGGGTATACTGCAAGGGTGAGCGTGGAACACTGTCATGTTGCCATCTCATAGAGGCCATGGTTCTAGCCCTTTAGAGGCTCTGGGTCTTCTTCCTGGCTGCTGGTCTAGAAGGTGGGGCCTGGGATAACACCCTCTCCCAGGACACTGGATTCAAGGCTGTCTATTCTGATTGTGTGGAGTGAGTGTAGCACTGCGCTGGTCAGAGAAGGCACTATCTTTGCTTCTCTCCTCCTGTTCCTTTATGGACCTGGTCTTGTAGACTGCCTGACCTTGCCTGCCCCCACTTCAGGATCCTCTCTACTCACCACCTGCTTCCTCCACAGGTCATGTAGGCACGGAGAAGTCAGGATCTCCAGGTGACAAGGATGGGCTAGTGACCAAATAGGGAGGGTCGTGTCTGAGCTCCCGGCAGGCCTGGAGCACCAGCAAGTGGCTGGGAACAGGGGTGGGGCTGGTGCTTGTATTTGTATGGAGCACAGTTGTGGCTTGGAGGAAGTTCTCAAAGGAGGAGGCGGGGCTGGGGCTGGGATGATCAGGTCTGGGACTCACGTGGGGCTGCTGGCTGTTTCACTCTGTTCGGAACCTGGCGTCTGGCTGTGTCACATGTTGGGACCCTAGGCCCACACTGGAGCCTCTCTTGAGGACCCTGAATATGGCAGGACAGGAGCGATCCTCTGTATGGCACAGGGCCAGCTTTGGGCTGCAAAATGCTCCTTCAAGCCAGCCCACTGATTTGCTATGGGCGAGCAGCTGGCCAGAGGCAGGCAGCTGGAGCGGGACCACAGGCCCTGCCACAGAAGGAGCACAGCGTGGCGAGTGAGAAGCTCACTGTGTCATGCTGGCCCAGTATGGAGCGGGGAAGCCTTTGTGGAGGCCAAGGGACAATGAGGAAGGGAGTATGCTGGCCTTCCTGCTCTACCTTTATCTCTCATGGTGAAGCCCACACTGCTAGCTGTGGTGGTGGCTGCCATCCCTTCCATCTGCCCTCCCTTCTTCCCCTCCAGGTTTGGTTTCCATAACAACCTTAGAAGGTGGGAGGCTATGCTAACTAGGTAATGCCCAGCTGAGAGGGGGGCTCTGGCTGGAGGGCTGCAAGCTGAGCCTGGCAGGCATCAGGAAACTCCTGCCACAACCTCTAAATTGGTGGGCTGAGGCATCAAAACCTGGCCAGGAACATCAGTTTGGGATACCTCTCCCAGCCAGACCATGGCTGCAAGGTAAATCCCTTGGTTGTAGTCCTTGGGTTTAGGATTGCTGCTGGTTCATTTTATAATTTTGGGGAAGTGGATGGGACTATCTAGCCGCAGTTTCTCCATCTGTATAATGGAGGGTAAATGGAGAATTTCACTGAATAGAACTTTTCTGCTATCCAAGACTGCTGATCATCCTAGAAGCCCCATGTTACTGAACCATTTCATCTGTAGCAGAAGGCATCCTGGGAGTCAGCAATTAACTGGCTTTCGTCAGGCAGAATCCCTGGCAATGAGAGCGGCAGGGATGGTACACCAAGCACGCAAAGCTGACATTCCAGTGGGTCTGTGCAGCCCTACAGAAAATGACTGTGCTATTTCTGTGAGGTGCTTGGAAACGTGATGATTATCTGAGCCACCGAGGTCTTGTGCTGCTTTGTCATGCCTGGTTCTGAGACACAGTGGAGCTGAACAGTTTGGCGAGGAATTACCTGCTCTGTGACTCCGAGTGGAAGTGGTTCCCGTGGGATCCCACTGGGAATGAAACCGGGATTCTCTCAGAAGGCAGGGCTGCAGGACTTGCTAAGGGTTGACGTCATACAGAGCATCTCCCAGAAGGATGGGCTGAGCTTAGACCAAAGCCTGGCTTACGGTGACCTCTTGTTCTTGTTGCAGCACCAGGATGGGGAAGTCGGAAAGGCACAGGCAGATGCTGTCCCCTCTCCTGCCTGAAGCCCCCTTGCTTCTGTGCCATTTGGCCCATGGAGGACACCCCTGAGCTGAAGCCCAGCCAGGCAACTGTACTCCATTCCCAAGTCAGTGCAATTTCCAGCTCCAGCACGTCCCCCTCAAACCTTAGACGTGCTCTCCACTCTGCTCTCATGGATGATCTCACTTCTTATTTCACAGAGAAAATAGAAGCAATCAGAAGAGAAATTTCTTCTTCTCTTATCATCGACTCTATCAGTCTACCTCCATCTCCACCAGAAATTCTGTCCTCCCTTTGCTGAAGGTCAGTGCTCCTCCTTGGTATGGATTCCCATTCCCTCAGGAGGCTTGAGCTTTATTCCTGCAGCCCGCCCCACTCCTGCTGATCTACATTGTCAAACGTCCATCCCCTCTCTTCCACACAGTTACCATCAGCGTCCTTTCTTCAAAAGTCTTCCCTTCATCCGTATTTCATCCAACCCTCTCTCACCAGGTGTGTATCCTCCCACTGCTTTGAAAGCTCTCTTGTCAAGGGCAATAGTGATCGGCCCAAATCCAACAGTCCATCATTAGTCTTCACCTTCCTTAACTTCTTCCTGGTGTGTTTTAAGTTGAGTCATTCTTCGGTTGGCTTTCTGTGTACCAATCTTATACCACACACACACACACACACACACACACACACACACACACACACTGGCCAGTTCCCTCCAGTCTCCTTTGTTCAGTCCTCCTCTTCTTTCCTAACCTTGAAATGTTGAGGCGTCCTTGGCCACATGCATTCACCTGGTCTGGTTCTAGCTACCACCTGTGTCCCCTTGGATTCTAATTGCAACTCTACCTTGGACTTCTTTCCTGAACTCCAGACTGGCATATCCTCTCAGTATCTCACCCTGGAAACTTTCAAATACAACACGTTCCAAAGCAGGCTCTTGATTCCCTTCTGCCCCCAGCCAGTGCCTCTTCCCAGTTCTTCATTTCATCAAATGCTAATACCATCCATTCAGCGCTCCATAAGAAAAACAGCAGCCCTACCTGCAAAACACACCCAATTTTGGACCAATTTTGTCCACTTGTGCCCTGGTTCTAGTCTCTACCCTCTCTCTCCTGGCTACCAAAACAGCCTCTTGGCTACTGTCTGCCTCTACAGGATGTAAATTGGGCCACAATTCTGCCTGCCGTATCTGCCAGTGGCTCTACCATACCTGGCTCTTACCATGACCTGTGACAATCGCATGATCTGTCCCTCATCCTACCACTTTGCAAATTCACCTGCTAACCTTCTTTCTCTGCTCACTCAGCTCCACCCAGAGCTAAATCTACCTTGGCTTTTGGGAAAGCACTATTGTGACCCTGAACCTCGGTTTCCTCACCTGTAAAATGGAGGCCTAGAGCCAGCCCACAAACAGTGTACCTGGAAACAGGTTCTGATGCATTTTCTAACCATCGGTTTCTCCATCTAGTGGGACAGTGCCCCCTCTGGCAGAGTCCACCTTCTCTTATTTGTACTTCCTCCCAATAACACGGCTGAATTTAGGACTACTCACATCTGGGGTTAAGTAAAGACTCTACAGCGAACAAATGGATCAATTAATTTCAAGACCCTCAGAAAGTGGGAGCCGAGCCAAGCCCTACTCAGGACCAACACATGACAGGCCCATCCTGATCACTGGAGCCCAGTGTCTGATCCTACATACACAGTCGAGCACCTTCTCAACACAGCCCTCTGCAAGAGGGCTCCTAGGAAAGGAAGCGAGGCCTCACCTGGGCAGGTGCAGGCCTCGTCCGTCACATTCGCTTTTCAGTGCGCTCCCTGTGTCACCCTTGGCATCCGTTTTTGTCAGCAAAATGGGGCTAAGCAGCCCCTCCCAGCCAACATCTCTGGCTGGTGTGAAGATTCACTGGGTTGGGTAGAATGCGGGGTGCCCTAAAATGTGCCAGATGCAAGGCCTCTGAATAGAAAGCAGCTGCCCCTGTTGACCTGGCCCAAGCCCCTGGGGATGCCCAGTCACTTCTCCGGGCTCCTTCACTGCCATTTCACTCCCAGTCACCTTGGTCAGGGATTTGGGGCTGTAATGTTGGTTTCTTCTGGCAGAAAGAGCAGAGAATGCTGAAGCAGGACCTCAGCGATGTGACCTGAGCACAGGGCTGCTGTGGGCCCACATGAACCAGGAGGCCTGACCACTGGTGGCCATGAGAGCTACGTGGACTTGCCTCTCCCCACCAGGGCCTCCACTTGGTCCTCCTCCCACAGCAGCAAGGTGGGTGCTCTGCGGCCTGGATGCAGAGCTGAGCGACTGCAGTGGGAAGCCCAGAGGCTGGGGCTTGGGGCATAAGCCCCTGAGTGTGGCCTGGTGCAGTACAGCATGGTACCGCGAGTCAGATACTTACGCCATGATGATCACACTGAAGTCCAGCCAGTTCCATGGGTCCCGGAGAAAGGTAAATGAGTGCAGACAGAAGCCTCGAGCCAGAATCTTGACCAGAGACTCAAAAGTATAGATGGCAGTGAAGGTGTACCTGGGGAGGAGAGGCCGGTGGGGTTGGTGGAGAGGCTGAAGCCGATGGGCCAGGCTTGCCACACTCCCTACATGGCACAAGCCCAGTGCAGCTCCCCATGCCACGGGTTATCACACCAGCTCTCTACAGCACCCCAGAGCAGAGCTCTGGAGTCAGGGACTGCGGCTCTCTCCCGAACATCTGGCTCAGCCGTCTACTTTCCTATTGAATTTATTGTATACCTGCCATGTGTCCAGTGAACTCTCTGTGTTCTCTCAGTTATCGGGGTGAGAAGACTCCTACCTATGTCCTCCCCCAGCCCTGGGGTCCATGGGCATGTGGTGACCACTTGGTGCCCTTGGATAGGCAGAGTTACTGCTCCTTCCCAGGCATGTGGGTACTCAGAGGCTAGCAATGGAGACTGAAGCATCCTTAACCATCTACAGGGTAGGTGGGTCCAGCTGCCCCAGCCCGAAGGGCTGTTATTCTACTGCGTGAGGCTGGGTGGGTGGCTATTTTGCTGGGAAAAGCCCAAGGAATCAAAAATGCCTGGATTCTGGGATTGCCCAACAGGGCTAGAACAAGAGAGGACCACATCCCAGGTTTCAGAGCAGCCAGATGAAGCCCTGTTCACACACCTCCAGTCTTCTGTGAATGTAGAGAGCAACCTGGCAAGTTACTTCTCTACAAAAGGCTGCTGGACATTCTGTCAGTCTCTGCAGGAGCCCAGTCTAATAAGGGCTCTCAAGTAGCCTTAGAACCTGCAGGGGAGGTACTTTCATTTGGGAAGAAAAGACCAGGAGTCATTTTCTAAGACTGTAGGGATGGATATAGGAGGCAGGACTTGGGGAAAAAGCAGCAAAGTACAGTACTGATGTGGGGACAGCCCTGGGCCTGGGCTTCTCCTGTGGCCACTGCCTACCTGCATGACATCAGGCCAAGGCTGATCATCTGTCCAGTGGGGACGGTGGTTATGCCTACTCTGATGGATTGCTAGAGGGTTAAAGGAGGTCACACTTATTGTTCCAAGTCAGTGCCTGGCAAGAACTAAGTGCTCAATAAATTACTATTATTATTTCAGGGCCTTCTCCAATGCTGTAGGGGTGATGGGGAGAAAGTCCCTACTGTGCCTGACAATCAGGTTGTCTACTGATGGGCCAAGTTAAAGCAGGCCCTTGACAGGACCAGGAAAGGTAAGGAGGGTAGAGGCAGGATCAAGGCCACCCACTGGTCCTGGTCACAGCCTTCTTTGGGTGGTTTTAGAGCTCACAGCGTGGGATGGAAAACAGTGGCAGGTCCTGAAGATACTTACTCAACATACTTGGTCCAGGGCGGAGGGTCGTGCTGGGCCATGAACACGCAGTTGGTCAAGATGGTGCACATAATGAGCATGCTGAAGAGCGTGGCGAGGGGTCAAGGAAGACACAAGGAGCCAGCCAGGTCTCAGGGACAGCACTGCCAGGCCAGGGCTGCAGGATCAGTAAGAGAGGGGCTCCAAGGAGGCATACCCTTCCAGGTGCACCCCCTCCAGCACCCAGCAGCCTGCTGACTCCTTGGTTGTGGGGGCATCACCTCCCCCAGAGCACCCAGCATAGCTTTTTTAGCCTCATTTTGCTCACTGAATGGCAAAGCTCACCTGTTTCCTAGCAGAAGGGGCTCTCTTCAAGTTCCATATGGTGTCTCGGGCGTCCCTGTGGGCCCTCGTCCCTGAACTGCACTGGCCTAGGCTTACCTAACCTGGCCAGGGTGGACATAGCTCTGACTGGCCTCCTCCACTCTCCATCACCTCTGCAAGACCTCTGCAGGCCCTGGACCTTGTGAAGGGACACTGTGCTGTCCTCAAAAGTCCCCTCTCCAGGCCGAGAAGAGAGGCTGTGCCTCCTACTCCCTGTGGCTGCCCCAGCTCCCAACCCCACAGCCCAGCCTCAGCCCCATGTGCCCAGCCTCAGCCCTCAGCTGCCCAAAGGTGATTCCCATAGGCAGCCCAGGAGCTGCAGTAATTGAACTCCAGAGGCTGCCTCTTCTCTCCCCAGCACAACTCTTTGCGGAGGGTGGGGGACACACCAGAGCTGTCTGACCCCCAAGACTAGGCCAAGCTTCACTTGCTCAATGCTGACAGCCCTGGCAGGGGAGAGGGGACAGTCCCCCCCGCCAAGGAATCTAACCAGGTGTGCGCCTTTCCCACCTCAGGTCCTTCTGGGGAATCCAGACAATCAGGAAAGAAGCCTCCTAAACCCACTTCTGGCTTGTAATAAATTCTCCAATCATCCATCTGCAATGAGAAGCGATGGGGCTTTGGGAATCCCCTAATCAGATCTGGCCTGGAAGCCCTCGGCACACCCTGGCCGGAAGGTGCCTCTCCAGGCACTGGAGTCCCTCCCTAAGTATGGTATCTGTCCAGCCCTCTGCCATGGCCAGGCCACTTTCCCTCTCCAGCTTTCAGGGGCGGATCAAGTACTAATCTCAGGGTCCTTGTCTCTCTCATAAACATTTTTCATACCCATGCTGCCACTAAGGCTTTCCTCACTGAGTGACAGTTCACAAGGCCCCCAGCCTTTTTTTGTCCCCATGAGACCACTGCTAAACTGTGCCCCGAGAATCCCAGATGGTAATGATGCTGAGTGTGGGTGTTTACTGAACCCTTCTGAGAAGCCAGGCTGTGTCCGTTAACTAATGTGGCTCTCTCAACAACCCTGGGAGGTGTTTCCATTTTAAGTGATGAGAAAACCGAGGCACAAAGAGGTCAAACTGAAGGTCACTAGAGTAGTGACCACTGGTAAAACAATGACTCCCCTAAAGATGATCAGTTCTGAGAGCCTGGAAACCGAATATGTCAATTTCTATGACAGAAGGAACTCCACAGATGTGATGGAGCGGAGGACCTAGAGGTGGGGGCAGCACCCTGGATTATCTAGGTGAGCCCAATGTAGTCCTTGCAATAGAGGAGGCAGGAGGTCACCACCTTGTGATTCTAGAAGACACAACTGGCTATGGCGGGCTTGAAGATGAAATGAGGACTGTGAGGTGAGGAACAGCAAAGCCCAACAGATTTGCCCTAGAGCCTACAAGGAGGAACATGGCTCTGCTGCTGCCTCGACGTGGGCCCAGTGAGAAGCTCCACAGTTGTAAGACGGTAAATGTGTGTTGTTTTCTTCTCTTCTTCCTTTTTTGGGTGCTGAGGATCGAACTCAGCACTTGCACTTGCGAGGCAGGCAGTGCAACCACCGAGCTAAATCCCTGGACCCTAAATGTGTGTTGTTTTAAGCCACGGAGTTTGCAGTCACTCGTCTCAGCAGCATCAGGAAACTACTGTGGTTACAAAGCTGATGGATGGCAGAGCCAGCTAGAGCCCCAGCTCTCCTCCAGGGGGAGCAGGCCTCGCTCCCAGCCCCTTGATGCGCAAGGGTACCTGCCTCCTGACCTGCGGACCTGAGTTAGTTACATTGCTTCTGGCCCTCACCTCCCAGTGGGAGTGTTATTCCTCACCTGGCCTGTGCCACGTATTCAAACCAAATGCAAGAGGAATGCCACACAAGGAAGAATGCAAGTGTGTGCCATTTTTAAGAGCAAACTTCACCCAGGGACCAGTGCCTGCCCTGTTGGTGTCAGAGAGACAGCAGAGCCCAACCCTGGAGGGCTCTGAGATGGGATGTTACGAGAAGGAAACACCTCTGGCTGGACTGACAGGAAGGCTTCCTGGGGGAGACATTTAGCTGGCACCAAAGGCTGGCTGGGTTTCCTCCAGCAGCCCAGTTGGTCCCAGTGGAGCAGCGAGGACTGGTGCCTCTGAGACCCCTCTCTGTGGAGCCAGGCTCCTACCTGCACTGTGCAGACCACTCACAGCACTCTTTAGAGAAAAGCCCCCCTCTCTAGAAAGCAGCAGTGTGGATGGGCTGCCTTGGGCCAGTGGACTTGGCTGGATACAGACAGAGTAAGTGAGGGCTCTGACATTAAGACCCAGGAAGGAGCAAGGGCACACAGTCTGGCCCCACAATGGGCAATGAGCCAGCAAGGGCTTAGGGTGAGATGAGGCGGCCTCTCCTTCCCCTGCCGCTTGACTGCATAAAGTCTTTGCCTGGCTTCCCTGGCCTTAAGGACGGCACTTTGACTATTCTCCATCGTGTGTGCACGCAAGGGCGCACTCGCGTGCCAGTGTGTATTAGATTGCCTCCTACCCAGACCGTGTGGTTCTGCCCAAAGCATTCCCCAGGTCCCCCGTGGAGCCCAGCACGTAGCCAATACCAGACAGATGAGTCAATTGAACTCCTGGCCAGGGTGCACCTGTTTGCACTGCCTGCTAATTTCAGGCCAATGATCAAGCCAGTCCTCCATTTGGGGAGAGACAAAGGCCAGCTCTCCAGGCCTCTGCTCTGTGGGACATCTTCCATCCTGTCATGTCACTGTCCCAATAACCCACTGCAACCTTGTGATTAAAACGCCAGCGAGGGCAGCCCATATAGGCAGTGGGGCATCCCTCAACCTTGGGCTGCCTGAGTCTCCAGATCTCACAGATTTGAAAACTCCCAAGGGAAAGGAATGAACTGTGGGATGGATTTTCACGACTTTTTGCTATTAAATGAACGTGCATGCCAGCACAAGTAGACGCGTGTGCACACACACAGTGAGTGCCCATTTAAGACTGATAGGGGAATGTGGGAGCGGTCTGTGAGTGGATCCTGTGCCCTCAAGAAAGCAAAATACTTCTTGGAGTGAATGTGAGGCCTTTCTGAATGTGACCGCTATGGAATTTGGAGTCCAGTTGGTTTCTTATTATCCCAGCAGGAATACATTCTGCGGGGTTATAACAGAAATAAAAAGAATATCTACATACACACATGTACATTTGCAGCAATTTTCAAGGCACACCGCACAGAGCGGAGAGCCTAGCCAAATGGCCCAATGGGGCATTTGCTGTGGGCCTGTACATGGTTGCCAGGGACCCCTGGATGGCTACTGGGGAGCAGACTTTCTTGCCAGGCAGCATTCCTGTTCCCTTTAAAGTTTGTCTTTACCCTTTCCAAAGAGCCTACTTTATATATGTGGGGACTCAGCAGATGCTTGAATGAATGTAAAAATTTAAGCAGAGTGAAAGCTCACAATTCTAAACATGAGATCTGACTATTTATCAGAAATGCACAGGGGTTCTTTTTTGGGGGACGGAAAGATAGGGCAAGGGATGCACAATCTTACAAATATATTAAAAGCTACTGAACTGTGCACCTGGAAGTGACAAGTTGCATGATAGGTGAAGTATATCTTGATTTGAAGAAAATGAAATGAGTGGAGAGCTTGTCGATTCCTAACCTCACACTGGTGATTTGAATCTGGAAAGGTCAAGGAATTTGCCTTTTAAATGGTGACGTAGAGGTGGCCCTCACAGGTTGACATCTGGAAACATTTGGAAACTTGCCGGAGGGCAGTATGCATAGCAGAACCTTGCTAACATGCAGGTTCTCAGGTGCTGCCAGGCCAGCCAAGGCTTGGCAATTCTTAAAAAATCCTGGAAAGTGTCACCACCCAATGTCAAGGCTCAAGGGCGCAAGGGGCTGCTCTCAAACCCCACAAATCCTGGTCCCTTCTTCCCACTAGGTGGCGCTGTCAAGGACCACAATTTGCTCTCATCTCCAGGCAGGGAGTGGAGTCTCTAGGCAGCCCGGAGGAGCCTGGGCCAGGGCCTCCCAGACTCTGAGCCCTTCCTAGGGGCAGGGGCCCTGCGGAAAGCAGCCCCTTCAGAGCGGTGAGGCCCAGCCCCACCAGGTGGAACCACATCCTCAGAGCCGCTGCTCCGCAGACCCTCTGGGCTGGCTGAGGACTCCAGCACCCCCACTACCTCCCTTGCCTACTGACTTCCCTGGCCTCTCATCTGCCTGCAGCCCAGCCTAGCGGCAGGCAGGAGCCCTGGGATTGCTGCTGCATCCCTGGGGGCTTCCATAGCTGCCAAACAGTGCTGGGTTGGTTAGATACCTGGAGGAGAAGCCCCAGGTGAGAGCCAGAGGATGCTTTCAGGGAGGCCCTGCCCTTGGAGCTTGGAGTGAAGCTGGAGACCAGCTCAGAGAGCCAGCAAGTGTGTGCAGGAGCTTGCTCTTCCTCCTCCAGCTGCTCACAGGGTGTTCTGTTCTTTACACCAGGCTGTGACCACACTTTGGCAGGAATGAAAACTATTTGTGTAGCTGCCTTATCTCACAGAGGGGACTGTGGTGTTCCTGAGGGGAATGGCCTTTGAGGGCAGGAGACTGAAAGGAATCTTGTGGAGCACTGTCTAACCAGCCCACCAGCCCCACCACCAGGAACACTGCAGAGCCTGCAGCACTGCTTAGATGAGGGCAGAGCTGTCTGTATTTGTGCACTTGCCCGGGTCACCAGTGGCCAAAGGCAAGGCCACCCCGGTGCTCAGAGTCAAGTGTAAATGCCTCTGCAACCCACACCAGCTTTTTCCCAGGGCTCCATCCACAGGGCCCCTCTGTGACATGCAGAGGACAGGTGGAGGAGGGGCTGTCACCCATCCCACATTCTGCCTGGACACAGCCCCCTCTGGCCCAGCAAGGCTGATACCGTCCCATATCTCACTGTGTTGCTCCACTAGCTCTCTCCACAGGCTGCAGCTTTTTAGGCTGTAGTTTATATAATTTAATGCTAACCACAGCTCTCTGAGATGTCCTGAAACTGCAAACATTTTGTCAACACCTAGTCTGAGAGTAAGTTTTGCTTCTCTTGAAAGAGCTCCACGTGAGAATAAACTGGAGGCCTCTTTACTTGGAAATGGCTTTTCTTTGGCTGAGCCTGGGTGACACACCTGAAGGTCCCCCTAGTGAGTGGGGAGGCAGCAGACCCTGGGGTGTGCCAGATAGGATGCTTGGAGCCAGGGGAAGGTTTCTGGGACTCTCAGTCACTGGGCTTCCTTCTGGTTGATCAAGGCAGGGGTCGCCAGCTTTCAAGTAGCCATGAATCCCGTGGGGATCGTGTTAACCTGCAGGTGCTGACTTGGGCCATCTAGATGGGGTGTGGGGATGTAGGGGGGATGTCGAGGTTCTACATTTCAATCAGCAGTCAGGCCGTGCCATGCTCACCCTACACCAGGAAGGGATGGGCAGGGCAGCACTCTGAAAACATCCTCAAATGTGGGGCCCCGGGGATGGGTGCACAGGACAGGGCAGAACCACAAAGGATATGAGTGAACCAGGATCTTCACAGCTGCTCTGCGGACAGGGTGGAAGGGACTGAGGACGTACAAGGCTTTGGTGGCACTGAACCGGAAGATGGTCTTGCCCTTATTCAGTACGATGAAGGTCTGCGGACAAAGAATGGTGTCAGGGCAGGGCAGCAGTTCCCTGACCATGTGGAGAGAGGCTTTTGGGGACAGCTGTGCACTCAGAGCCATAGGATAGTGTTGGGTTGGGGAGCACTGAAGATGGGTGGGAAGGGGCAACCAGCACATTCAGCAGTGCAGTGGACCCTTGCTGCTTGCCTCATGTTGAGGTCTAGTTTAGGGAATGCTAGGTTGGTTGAGCCTTAGTTTCAGAATTACAGTCCCAAGAAGGGGTCTGTCATGGTCCTGGCCCAGCTGTCATCACAGCAGAGACCCAAAGACCCAGGGGTGTCTTCCTACTCCTGCTCCCTGACTGCCCAGCCCTGTACAGCTTCCCTTCTGGGCCCTTTAGAAGTAAAGGCATGGCTAGGGGCAGGGTAAGGTGAGGAGGAGAAGGGCAGAGGAAAAGGCAGACCATTCAGACAGTCATCCTGCCCCTGACCCTTTGGGAACGGGAGCAGCCCAAGGTAGACCCTCCTCCCTGGGCTTCTGGGAGATCTCCGTCTACACAGCTGACTGGGGCATGGGAACAACAAGTGGTGTAGGCTGAACCATGAGCACATGAGGTAGGAGCCTAGGCCAAAAGCAGCTCTGGAGGACAGCAGGCCTTTCCCATCTTCCCAGGTATGTGTAGGCACTGCCCAGGGATCTCACTTCCTCAGGGGTTGGACTGGTGGGAGAAGCTTCTATTTAATCTGGGCTGGAGAGACAAGTTGGCCAGATAGATAGAGCCAAAAGTTCTGCTGTGCTGCCTCCACCAGCCTGAGGGGCTGCTGACAGTGTGGTCAGGGTAAGACAGGAGGCCATGACCTAGAGCCTCTGTTCAAGCATCCCCAGACTTAGGGACAGAACAAATGGTGATCCCTGACTCCTCCCAGGCTGACATCAGCCGTGCCCTGATCCCAATCTCAGGAAGGTCCCTTGACTGTAACTCCTGCCCGTCCCAGCTGACTTCAACCTAGTTGCCACCTCTCTTCTCACTATAACACCTTGATTCCTACCAGCTGTGGCCTTAACCTCAACCCCAATTCCCCCTCCAGCTCTGACTAACCATGACCTAGACCCACCCACTCTGGCTCATCCCATCTTCCAACCTATGAACGCTGACTCCACTCCCTGACCTTGAGCCCACCTGAGTCATCTGAATAACCTGAATTGAGCGGGGAGGTTCACCTGGAGAACTGGGAGTCTAGGAGAAGCCCCAGGTTCAGGTTCAAGGGCTCCTCTCCTGCCTGTTTATACACATGTGTACACAACTGCCATTCACAGGTTCTGGGGCTCCTAAACTCTCGAGTTACAGTCATACACGCTTAGGCCCTTGGTCACACAGACGCTGCTCACACCTGCCTGCCACGTGTTCACACAAAAGCAGGCCTCATGCTGACCACACTTGTCCCATCTGCCCCCCGAGTGTGGCCTCAGCCTGGGCCGACTGTAGTGATGTGAGCAGCCACTGTCCTCTTCAGTACCCTGCCTTCTGGGGAAAGTTCAAATCCATGCACAGGGGGCTTGTCAGTGTGGCAGTGAGTGTGGCAGCACGTGGGGAGTCGGAGCCCCGGCAGGGCCCTGTACACCTGTGAGCTGGCACAGTGCAGGCCAGGACCCATGGTCCTGCTGAAGAAGCCAGAGCAGGCAGGGATGCAGGCTAGGGAGCTTACTCCTGGGAGGAAGCCTGAGTCACCTTGCCCTAGTGGACAAAAGCCACTTCCTCCCCTACCCTCAAGAGGAACAACAGCAAAGCAGCTTGGCAGTTACTGCCTCATCCTCTCAGGGTTTCCAGTGACCCTCATGGTCCCACAGCAGGTCCACAGGATCGGGGGCTGCTGCTGTGGCCCCAGTGGGCACAGCCAATGCCTAGTGAGATCTCAGTGCTGTTGGGGTAGGGTGGTCTATGCTGTCCCTAGTTTTTGGAAGGAACCATATGCTGTCCCCTGGGGCCCAAACTTAACTGTAATTCACACACACACACACACACACATATGCGCACACACACGCGTGCGCACACACACACACACACACACGCACACACACTTGGGACAGGTAGGAGTCCTCCAGTGGTGAACATCCAGCCACAGGTAACTCTCAAAGGTCTCCATGACAGGAGGCTGACCTCTTTTTTCCTTCATAGCATCAAGCTAGCAGCTCAAGCTGCACAATTCCTGTCCTTTATTCCAGAACTCCAAAGTGAAAGTGATTGGAATACAGATGACCAGTGAGTCATCCCCCTGCAGACCAGGGGGTCTGACCCAAACACAGCACCATACAGGGAGTTGCATGGAAGGGTGGGATAGGGAGAGCTCGACAGTCACCTTTTGGGTGCTGTAGAAGGGGTCCAGGTCCTCCAGGGGCTCCCCGATGAGCTCTCGGGGTGGGTTGCCATAGAGATCTGGTAGCTTTTTGGAGGCCTGCAGGTCCAGCTGGGGCCGGGGAGCCTCCTCTTCGGGCAGCCCCTCACGGCTCTCCTGCGAGGTGGCTGAGCCTCGGGCTTGTTTCTCAGCCATGCGCTTCTCAATGGCCGCCAGGGACTCTCGTGTGAACCTGCGGAAGCTGCTGGTGCCCCGAGGTAACAGGAAGTTTGCCATCTTCTCATCCTGCTTCTGGGGCACAGGCTGTGCTCAGTGCCTGGGGGGAAGCTGGAAGACACAGAGGACAGGCCTGATGGGAGGCCAGGGCACAGGGGCAGGGCAACCAGACCTGAGATGTGGTCACACCAGTGGAGGGAAGTACAGTTTTGCAAAGACTCTTGGGACCCCGGGTTGCCCATCACTGCACAGCCACACGTGGTGGACATAAGCCTGGGTGCACCACAGCTCCCCAACTGGTGAGGCATGTGTGAAGCGCGGGGAAACCACTCTCCCTTCCCATGCTAACAAGCACGCCTGAATGCAAGCTGAGAAGAGGAACTGCATTAACGCGGTCCCTTCGTCCTGCCTCATCCAACACCGAAAGAAGCATGCACCTTTGACTGCCCTCATTCGATACCCCACAAATGGTGCTGCACCTCTGGGCTGAGGGAGGACCCCATGGGACAGGGAAGGGTCCTGTCATCTTTTTATTCCAGATCCCTGGCATAGCTGGTCCTGAACAATGAAGGACTCAGTGTGTGCTGATGAGCCGGGACATCAGAAGGGGCCAGGTCCTGCCCTCCTTTCTGGGGCAGAGCCCCAGCCCGAGTGCTGTCTCAGTGCGCCCTTGTGTGTGGGGGGCCTGCAGATTTCACCTGGGGTATCAATTGATGTGACATCTGTCTTTGCTTTAGGAGACCCAGGAGAACCCTGTGGAGTTTCAGAAACAGGTGGCCAACAATTTTGGAGCTGTCAGCAGATGTTGGCACCCTGACATACAAAGTTGTTCTACAGTCCCTGCTGGGGATCTCAAAGGAACCCTCAGGGTATGGTGTCCTTCCAAGCTAATCTGACTTCAAAGATAGGAGATGCCCATGCGAACCGAACCGCTGGCTCCACTGATTGCTCCTCTCCCTCCCCACAACCAGTGAACAAATAAACCCCAATCCCAAGGGACAGCAGAACCGGAAAACCGTGACCGCTACTGACCAGGACATCTAGCCAGCACATGCATGTGACATCAAACTGGGAGAATGTGGCCCCTGGTGGCCTCAAATGATCTAGAAAGTGGTGTGAACACACTGCCTCTGACAGCAAGGCAGAAGAATGCGTTCCCGACTGCCCCACCGAAACAGGATGTGGTCAGAAGGGCTCCTGATGTGACAACTGAGCCAGGACACTGTGCCGCTAATTACCACATCGAACCCGAAAGGCCAGGCACTGGCGCAAGAGGGCATGGTGGGCACCTGTTGGAGATCTCTGCCAGGACAGAATCCTTTCCTGTCATCAACCAAGGGCTTTGCTCTGATCTTACTCCTGCAAAACAAGTCACCAAGGACCCCCCTGAGCTGCTGCGACAACCTTTTCTGTGCAGAGCTGGCAAAGAGCCTGGAATGGGGGCCCCCTGAGCACTGGGGGCTGTAGGCACCTGGCCAAGTGTCAGGTAAGCAGTGAGCACACGCAACACAGCCCCACCTCAAAAAGGCTCTACTGGTCCCCCTGGGAGGTACAGCATGGAATGCGTGAAGGGAGGAGGACAGACATCCCAGGACCTGCATTTTCAGAGCCACCCTGTCCTGTTTCTTATTTCTGTCGCACGAAGGTAAAGGAGAGTCTTTGGTAAGAACAGCAGGTGAGGGTGCAGGTTTCCACTTCACAAAGGCACTTCTCTGTCTATCTTCCGTCTCTGAGTGAACAAAGTGCACCTACACTTTTCACAAAAAGCAAACAGCTCTAGCTGGGGGGAATGTGGATAATCTGAAACTTTCTTTGCACTTTTTTATTGCCTGAATTTATGATGAGCTTATAAAAATAATAAAGCCATTATTCTTTTTACTTAAAAAGTAAAATACCCAGCCTGGATGATAGCAGTCCCTTGCATGGCAACCCTCTCCACCGGGAGCAATCACTACTAGTTCTGTAAATTGGGAGGCCACCCCTTCAGCTTGAAATTATTTGCTAAAAATAGTGTTTCCTGTCTCACTGTACACATCTGTGCCCATACACCTGCAGGCATTCTGGAGGTGCATGTACGCCCATGGATACACAGAGGCTCACTGGTACACACCAGCAAAAGTGTGTGTGTGTTTGTGTGTGTGTGCAGGTTTGCACCTATATGTATGTCTAATAATTTGTTTGTAAATGGGGTTGTAATAAATGATTCATGCAGATAGGTGCATATAAATGTATAAGTGGATGAATTTCCAGAAACTGAACACATTTGGTAACCAGCCCCTAGACACAGTCACAGAGTGTTTTTAATCTGTCCCTCACGCTTGGGTTCTCTTCCAGACACAACCCTCCCTCCTCTGCCAAGGGTAACCTCTCTTGACTGCTGAGTGGATGGATGAGTTCTGTTTGCTGTCTATATAACAGATCCCTTGGAGGGATGGCGAAAGGATTTGCGGGGAGAGACAACCTCTCTTTTTCTCCAAACTCCCACTCAAATTTAGCATTTCCTTCATGTATGGCTGTAGGCAACAAAACAAGTGTTAGCACTACTGGTGACCAAAAGGCCCTGCATTGGCTCCCTGTTTCACAAGAGCTGCCACTGGTATCTTGAATATTATTAATACTTGTCACTATTTCAAAATTATAGTACTTAGACCTGTTGCTCAATGTTATTTAAAACATTACTAAAGAAGCACATACATTACCCTATCAAAAGTTGACTTTCAAGTGTTCTCAGAGCTATATTCAATACAACTGGTTTTCTTTTTAACCCTGTATGTTTTGCTTGATTCTGAAATGGGCTTTGCCCAACTGGCAAAGAAAGGTTAGGATCCTGGCTTGGTCTCTGCTCAGTTGCTAACCCTGGGGTTCCCTACTCTATCCCTCACCTTGTCTGCACGGTGAGGAAGGGGAATAAAGGGATACTCAGTGTCCTCTGGGACTCTGATGCTCTCCCCAAATTCAGCTCATGGTGGGCTCCAGCCTGTCCCCAGCTGCCCACGGCTCAGAATCCCCTGGACTCTGCTACTTCAGGGCAGGGATGGATGTCACAGTGAAGACTGTGTTGGAAGGAAGCCTGGCCTGGAGACACCTGCCTGCCCTGCCCCTGGGCTGGACAAACTCCATCCTGAGTCCAGCAGGAGAAGTAGAGCAACCCTCAGGGGTTAGAGGCCCGGTCCAGGGGTACACACAGAGATCAGCGGCACCTGTGTCCAGTCCCTTTCACCTGGAGCCCCGAGGATGGGGCCATGGGTTCCAAGAAGGGTCTTATTCAGGCTGGCCTCCGCCAGCTGAGCACCCACACCTTCAGATCCCAGGCGAGGGAGGGGTAAGGGGCACCCAGGGGAGTGGCTAAAGCCAGATTCCAGATGAAGTCCCCTGGTCCCCAGCAGCCAGGCAGCCTCAAGTTCCAGAGTAAACGTGCCAAACGTGCCAAGAGCGTCTTTTGTCCCTAGGCCTGCTCAGGATGGGTGGGCAGGACCTGTTTTCTCCCTTGTTCTCCAGCTGCCTGCACCTGGCTTTGGCCTTGCCCTTCCTCCAGCAGCTCAAGGCCCACACCCTGCTGTGGCCAGGCCTAGGTGAGCCAGGGCTGCAGTGCTTCCGGGATGCCAGGTTGAGGGAGGCTCAGGCCAGGGAAAAAGCCTCAGCTCTGGGGAGGCCTCACCTGTGGCTGCACAGGGCTGCACTGGAAACACCTGAGCAGGACTCTGTGACAGTCGTCGGCTGGAGAGGCTGTGGCAGGTCAGATTCCAAGCCATAGCTGCTCTCTCCCCAGGGACCAGTGCATAGTCCTTCCTCCCCCAGGACAGCTCCTTTGCAGCTGCTGGGACAGTGCCTTGCACGAGCAGTTTCCCTGTCTTCCCACTCACTCTGGGAACCCTGCTCCTCCTGCCCACGCTTACCTGCCTCTGGTCACTGGGCTCACCTTGCCCCCCACGCCACTGGCTCCAGAGAGTAAGAGGGAGTAAACTGTGACTCTGCCTTTCTGCACTGCTTCCTCCTGACACCTCTTCAGACCCTGGACACAAACCCTCCCCACAACCTGTGTCATTGCCTCCAACCCCAGTGCCACCACCTGGGAACCCTGGCCATGCCCCGGCTCCTTTCCTCTTCCCCTCCATCCCACTCCATGATGGAGACATTCCCCAACATTCTCTGTTCACAGCCGCCTCCGCCAGGACACCTCTAACTGCCCCCCCACTCGTGCTACTCTCCCTCTGCGCCCACACCCAGCCCTGCCCTGCCCAGGCTGGTCTCCCCAGGCACCTGGATGCCTCTTCTTGGGACAGGGCTGGGAATCCCCTCTAACCTACTGGACTGTCAGGGATGCTGTGGGGGGTGGGGAGGCTGACTATTCCACTATATCAGGGACCCACTCTAATAGGACTCCTCACCTGGCCTTCCCGAACCCGGGTGCTTTGTGACCAATCAGCGGTGCTTACAGTACCGTGATGCGGAACCCACAGCCTGGCAGCCTGGAGGGCAGCCATCGGCACTGTATGGGGAAGGTGATGCAGTATGGCTAACCTGTCCTGGTTTTCATGGGACTTGGCTGGTTTTAGTACTGAAATTCCTACATCCCAGGACGGCTGGTCATGGAGGGGTGAGGTCCCTGCCTACTCCAGTACTGGATCTCTGAAGGCAGGCGCACTCCAGCATCCTGAGTCATGTCTGGCATTTTGGTCGCCTTGGATTGGGAGCCTCTGGAAACCAGCATGAAAGAATATTCTTTGCCATGTAAATTTATGCAAAGTGCTCTGTGGAAGTGGCTCCCAGGCTTCCTAGGAAATCTCTGCCAGCTTCTTTCCTCTGGCTTCCTCTGCTCTGTGCTCCTTTCCCTTGCCTGGAGGTCTGGTGACCTCAGGCTAAAGCACCCACCACCTTGGCATGCAGTCATACTCTCCAGGGGCCACCTCTGCCTGCCCCGTGGCACTCTCCTCTGTCTGCCCCTGGAGAGAGGGTGTGGGTACCACTGAGGCAGGGGTTTGGCCCCCAAAGTGGGGATCAAGGCATCAGGGACTCCTGGGCACACCCTGGTCACACCACCCGTGAGCCTGGGGCTCCTGCTCTCTGTGCAGTGTGATGGGACACATGAA